TTTAGTTTTTGCTGCCAAAAAGATGTTGACAGGACAGAATTAGAATCAGAGTCTGCTTTACTGGCCAGATGTGTGTTGAACACATGAGGAATTTGACTTTGGTGCAGTGGCTCTCAGTGTGCATGTACAATGTTCTTCCATAGGGGAACGAGTAAACAAGAACAATAAAAGAAAAAGAATGTGCATTAGGAAGTTAAAAAATAAAGTGCTTTTAAATATAAAATAAATATGTATACATATACACACACTTTAGATGGAAGTTTTAAGATAGATATATACAAAGGTATATTTTCAAGGTATTGTTGAAGGTGACATTGCAATGTCACAATTTTCAATCCAGAAAACGTTGCAAGGTGTTATTATGAAACTAGTATATTTTGCATTGCTGACCAATGCAGCTATTATATTAGCCTGTACATTGTGCATGGTAGGCTCTATCTCATAACATCTTCAACTGTGTTCTTATATTTAGCAATGTAAAAAAGTGTTGTTTTCAGGTGTTAATTAATGGAATGCAGAATTGTTCACTGTCTGTTTACAGAGAACTGTAAAATCCGTTATAAGGTAAAATGCCCATAAGTCTTAACAGTGAGCAAGCAGGGCCCTGAAACAGATACGCCTAAGCAGAATGCAGCTATTATTAATTAGTGTTCAGTTTAGTGCAATGCTTTTCCTGATACTACATGTCAAAATGTCTGGTGAGTTTACTAATTGATACTGATAAGCATGGATTATGTGCTAGTGTAGCACATAATCCATGCTTATTCGCTTGGCTGCCAACTAAGCCTTTCATCTGATCCTTACATTGTTCCTTTGAGTCACAGACAATATAGACACACGCTCTGGCAGTCTTCTGTAATATGAGTTTGTTTCAAGACATCTATGAATGCTTTAACACAGAATGTATGTTCCCATCATTAGTGCTGACTTTTCACACAGTTCTGTTTTTCCTTGGGTTTGAGTTTCTGCTGGCGATGACAGCAGCACACAGAGATACGCAAATGCCCACAAACAGACCCGTTCCATTCAGTAAAGATATCTGTTACAGTATGCACACAGTTGCCTCTAGCAACGTATTGTTCCTGATCAGGGCATTATAAATCCAAGGACGCACCCAGTCACATATTGTAATACCTTGGCAGAGCTTGCTGTGTGTCATTGTCACCAGTGAACACTGCATACAGTCTATCTATGAACTGTAGCCAAGATGTTTTGTGCTATCTTTCTTTCCTGGTAACAATTGAAACTGAAAGGCCTTTTCATCTCTTATGTTCTCAAGAGTCGTCACTTCTGATTTGTGTGAAGATGATGGAGAGCATTTGACAAATGAAAAAGAATGTTATTAAAAACAAACAAGTGCAATGAAGAAAGCAGCAAAATGAAACCACCTGAAAACAATTTTAACTATGTTCTGTGAATAACAAAGACACAAGGAAGTAGTTTAAAATAGGGTTAATCAAGCATACACACAAATATACACCTGCCCCTGCACCACTCTCTGTTGCTCCTCCCTCATGTTGTCACTAGTTTTCCTCTCATCCCTACCTTTTGATAGGCTTTTCTTCCCAATTTGTCACCTCTGTCATTTGTCAACCTGTCACACACTGATAGTGTGTTCTCTGTGTTGCCTGGCAACTCTGGCTTTTATTAAAGAAATGTAGCAGTATATGAGAAGATTGTACTGGACAAAAACACCAAAATCACCTGTATGCCAATAACCTTGAAAATATGTTTTTTATGTAAGTCTTCTGAATATGTAACTGGTAACATTGCTGATGTAGCCACAACTACTTTTAAGGATTAAGGTGACCTGAGCTGTGCTGTGGATGGAAAATAGATGAAAATCTCATGTGTCTATGCTTTTGAATTTCCAAAGCTGTATAATAACAAACTGGCCTCATATCATGATCCAAGATATTCATAGGCAGTTTGTTACAAAACCTTGAGTTCATGAAATGTAGCAATCTGCTGCTAACAACATTAGCATTATAGCTAATGTGGCACCTTTTAGTGCAGAGCAACCAGGAGTTTTGAAAGTGGTAAATACTGTGATGACTAATCTGTGAATATGTCATAAAACAGGTGATATTCACAATTTTTCTTATTGCGAACAAATTCCATGAAAACCCACAATGAACTGATCCAACTAAAAGGAACTTCCTGCATATCACAAGCCTGATACTGTATCTTATTCCTCTCCAGTTTGTCTAGAAATGATTTAAAAATACATTTGCAAGCTACACTACTGCACTGGGTACCCTCACCACCTTAAACATGGGAAAATAGTCACACGAACATGCACTATTTAGTCTTCAGTTGTGTTTTTAGAAATAAAAGAGCTTGAAAAATAATGATGCTCCATATGCTACATACAGCAGGACTCACTTTCAAAGAGTTTTGTCTTCAGTGGGAATAAATGGTTTTAGGACTGAGAGACTAACACATTTGGTCTTTTCATGGGATGTGTTGACAGAAACAAATGTAAAGAATGTGTTTTGTAAACTGAAAATGTATGTTTAGTGTGTTTCTCTTATATTCTCTCTTTTTCCATATCCTGAACACTGCAATGTTTAGTTGCAAAGAGCTTGTAAAAGTTCTCTCACTTTCTCACTATATGTTAAGTGTCTGCTCAGGTATAAACAGCACCACAGCCAATGATCTACAAATACACCATGGGTAAGTGTTGGTTTTAACATTAGGTGATACATTTTCCATGAGCTCAGTATACACATTTGAATTGGGGCTGATTACTTTATCCACTGTCATGTTTAGACAGTCTGGAATGCATGCTTTGCTTGTCGGGTAACAGCTGTAGAAACAACTCTGAGCCATGAGTAGACCCTGTGTAAGAGGTTCAAACTTTTAATAACACAGCAGAATGCTTTCGGAAGTATATGTGCTAAAAATGCTGCCAAGATGTGTGCAACTATTACTGTGATTCATATTAAACAAGGTTGATGGCAAGGATGTGGAAAGATTAACACGGGATAAAATTTCTATTTAATGGAAAGTTACAGTGGGCTTAATATGTTATGTACACTGCATTTTGGCTGGTTTGACTGGCTCAAGGAGGAAGATGCACACAAGGCACAAAGAATATGAATGCCTGTGTTTGAGTTATAGGTCTTTACAAAGGAGATAAACGTCAACTGAGGAAATTAAACACGTTCCCTGAGGCAAAAATGCATATGAGACAAATCAGTGTCAGCAGTATTATGGCAGAGTTTAATTAATAAACTTTTTTTCTGTCAATAAGCAGGAGTTTCAAAATAAAGGGGTGATTTGAATTAGTTTCCTGATGCGGTGCATCCGTGCTGTGGGAGGTACAACAAAACCATATGTATGTTTGTGACCGTAACTTTAAGCATATATTTTATCTGCAATTATTTTTGTTTAATAAGATAGGAACTGTATTTCTCGTAGACCAACCGGTCCCACCAGCAGACAACAACTAACTGGAAGGATAATATCAGAACTTTAGAAATAGCTTTCCTGGCTATGAGGCATTTAGTTAAAATAACATTCTTGAAGAGTTGCTTTGGCT